CGCGTTCAGGGCCTGAGCGTGGCACCTGCAGCCCCCGTGATAACCCACTGGGCAGTCCTGGCGGGTGGCCGCGCTGCCACCGTGCTTTCCCGTCCGCCATCCCTGCTGTGGCGCAGGGCTGGGCCTCGAGTGATTTCTAAGAACAATTTCAGATGCGTGACGTGAGGAGAAAAGGTCAGCTGAGCGAGGCGTTCACGCTGTTAGCATGCTGATGTAATTACCTCGGTAAGCTGCTGCTGAGGTAGTGTGCCGGCTGCCGTTAAAGCAGCGCAGTGTGACGGCCACAGTGGCGCAGGCAGCCAGGGACAAGGCCTGGCATGAACATCGCCCATGTTGCACCTAAAGGCCAAAAGTTGCGTGCTGGAGAAATGTTGCCTCAGCGCTGGGGGAGCTGAGTTCACGGTCCCCCTCCGCTGTGGTGGTTTATTGCTAGAAAACACAGTGACAAGGGTCACTCAGCATGACACGAGAGACGCATGTGTGGTTACACAGGTAAGGCAAATATTTCTGGAACAGGCTTCAACGTCCAAACACCTGTCATCAGTGGTTGCATTTCCTTCCTGTCTGCAGGCTGCAGTGCAGTACGGTGCTCCAAATCCACCGGCTGATGCGCTCCCTCAGGTCCTATAATGAAAGCCAGTATCTTGTACACTGGGGGCTTGCACCTCTGAAGCATAGCTGGTGGGATGGTATATATTCATAGCATGTTTTTCCTGGTAACTCAAGGAAACGTTGTGTAAGATTTTCTTGAACTGCAGGTTCAAACTGTGAAAGCTATATAGGGAGTAGCTTTCCTGGATTTTTCTGCCTGCAGGACTGAGGGACAGGCTATGTCTGTCATTCTGCAGGTGTTCTCTAGTTAATCCATGTGCTACCTGTGATCAGTTGTGAAATAAGTAAATCAAGACAACATCTGCGAATTATGTTTCTGAGTTAGCAGTGCAGAGTAGAATCTAAGTGCCCATCCTCAAGGTAATGATTCTTTCTAATTAGGTTTCTTTGAATTCATGTTTCAGTGAACAAAAAGTGTTCTGAACCTCAGAAAACTGATCTTGCACAGGCTGGGTATAAGAAAGTAAATAGATACATAGAAACTGTCTGCAAAATAACAAATTTTAATAAAGAAATTAAAAGATACAACTTCCTCACTGATTTTAGTCTTCAATAGGTGTTTCTCTGGATATGGCCTTGCTGACTGACCTGTATTGTAGCGTTTGTTATTACAGCCTTTTTTACTCCTTGCTGGAGCTCCCTGTGGGTCACAGACATCGGGATGCCCGTGAAGCCACCTGACATGGACCACAGCGAAAGGAGGCCCAGTTGCCGTCCTGTCCATCCAGAAAGCAGAGTGTGATGCTCCCCAATGATGTGTTACTTTCTCTGTGTTCTAGCGCCAAGGCCAGGGAAGACTTGGAGGTCGCTGCCCCTGGAGTATGAGACGATGTTGTGTTTGAGTCCAAGGACAGCACTATCAGCTAAGGAGCACCCCGTGTGCATCAGCTGAGCGGGCCATTGAGATGCTGGTGCGTTTTGAGAAGGTTGCAGGAGAAGTGGTAGTTTTGATATATAACCACAGGAACACATATTCTGCTTTTCTAGTAAGCAGCTGTCATGCACATGAGAAGCTTGTGCTTCTTACTGCTTGTGATATTTGGGGATGTGGTTCATATTGGGAAAGCAATGTAATTGTGTTATTAGGAGAGGGGGTGTTATGGTAGCAGCTATGTTTAGGATCTATAACGCAAACCAGTGCCTAGAGACAGCTCGTGGAAAATTAAAAGAAGTGTTTATTAATTGTGATTTACAGCTGGCTTAGAAGAACGATAACTGGTAAACCAGGGGGGTCTGGAGAAATTGCCATTGTATGCTTCTTGGTTGTTATTTTTTACTGGAAATACACTGAAAATGTTGTTCTCTGGTTTTTGGGAATTGAGCCCAGGGTAGTCCCAGGACTACAGTTATAATGGTCTATGGAGGAGAACTGTATGCACGACATAAACCAAGTACACTCATTAGAAAACTTTATGGATTCTATTGCTAATAATATATGCCAGTTCTATATTAGCTGTGCAGCCAAACCCAGATGAACTACTACAGAAGCTCTTAAAGCCTTAAGACATATGCAAAGCAGGATAATGGAGTTGCTGGAATGTGTGGTATATTGTTAGTGTTTTCTGCCTTAGTATAAACACAAACAAGTAGTCATTGCAATGGTTTCTTATTAAAATGTCTGATAATCTGAGAAGCCCCTTGCTGTGCTGACAAAGCGGCCACCCCAGGGTAACTGGTATCCACAGCAGTACTGATCTCCAAATTGGGTTTGGTGCCCTTGCTCATCCAAATAGACAAGACCAATCAAGTTAAATTTAAATGGTGTTTGCCCAGTGACCTTGAGCAAACAATTAATTTTCGTACCAGTCCAGAATGGGCTAAGTGCTGTTCCTCCATGTGTACGGGGGTTTTTTGGGTCATTCACTGGAATTACTTAAGTATCATTTATTGGAAATGATCTGGTTTGTGCTGCTTTTCTGAGAACCATCTTGAATATTGGTAGATAGAGAACAAATTCTTCCCTGAGGTGGTTTTATTCACAAATACACTCCATATCAATCTTAGCCATTAAGGAAGCAAGCTGTAATGTGCTTAATCTTGCCACGGTGGTGTGAGAGGTTGAAAGCCTATCTTTCCTGATTTAAGTCTTATAGCCCAGGGCCTAAAGGAGAAGAGGATCCTCCCTTCCCCCACAAACTGGATAGGACTGGAAAACCATAAGGGCTGGCCACTCTTCTGGCATCTGGTAGCAAGCAGGAGAAGCAGAATTAAAAGGTCCAATGATCAGGATGAAACAGGCTTCATCTATTCTGTGCATTTACGGTGGAGTCTTCCTATTTCAGACTTTAGGGGACTGCATTCCTTGTTCAAGTGAACATTAAAATTCCCATTACTGAAAGTGGATGCCAGTGCAAATACCTGTCCTCAGCTATATTACTGATTTCCTCCCCCTGCCCAAAACTGTGTTTTGGCATACAACAAAAGAAAAAAACCCCTTCAAAATCTATGTAGCAAAATGCAGATCCTTGGCAGCAGCAACAGTAAGCAGAAGTGCAAGGGGCCCTAACAGGTGTGCATTCAGTTAAGGAAGTCTGTCACATCAGTCACAGGTCCACAGCAGTGGGATTCTAGGGT